CCCCCCCCCCACCAAAAAAGACCCCCACCCAAACCACTACAATTTTGGGATGCACCTGGTAGCATAACAGGAATTAGGAATAAAGTCTTTTGAGTTCTGGTGCATTTGTGCATGCGGGGGTCATTATGTTACCGCTACGTCTAGTTTTTTTGTTTTTTTTTACAAAATATAAAAACATCCGTATCTCTTTTGGGAATCACCACCTTGTCAAGGTGGAGGAGTTTGTGTGTCTGTATAATCTTAGAAGCTGTGCTTTTGGGGTCATTTGTCCCTGTTAGGGTCTCCAAAGACAGATTGGTCCTACAGGGGACAGGCCAGACAAAGAGCGATTCACAATACTCAACAGAAAACAGCAACGAGCTCCATGTCCCCCCATTTTAACGTGGGCTGCTGATATGATGACGATATCATTGCAGACTTGTTAATTAAAAGGAATCATGACAGACTCTGTGAGGAACATTGTATCATCGCTATTGAAATGAATGCAAGGTCCCCATAAAGATAGCAGTAGTAGACAGTGTGTGTGTTCAGTCATGTAAATCCAGCTTTCTGTGACCAGTCTAAACTTTGCATGATGTTTTTAATCACATAAATCATAATATTGTAGTCATGGTGATTTGTAGGTATTTTAGGAAATAAATGACAAATCATATTTCATTGTTCATTTTTTTCACCGCAATGACAATAAGAGATAATCTAATCTAGTCTATCCAATTAATCTATTTGTCCTTAGAGTCCTGTTGATTGGTGTTGATCCCTGCTGTTAACGTCTGTCTGAATATCCACACAAACCTGAAACAGATTAACTACACTATTAATATTTCTATTTCTTCTAACATTTCTTTACATGTCAGGGTTTTAAGGTGACACCACCTTGTGTTGAGAAATGATGGAATTAAATATAGCAGTTTTGATCAAAGCATGACATTATCGTTACTTGTGATGTCTCACACAATATTGCGAGGTGTTGTGGTCTGTTAGCACTTGGAGCTTGTGTTGTGAATGACTCAGCTGTAGATGTGAAGCCAAGATTTACTTTCATTTAAACGTAGTCTCTAGTTCATAAAACATTTTAGTAATGTTTTATTGTGGACTGGTGGGACTGTAAAATGACTTGAACATAAAATTTTACAAAGTTAACTTTGTCGCCTGAATTGCATCGAAGTCTGTTTTCCAAGTGAAACATGTTTTTGTCTGTTTGGTTTTATTTCAGGTGGACCGTCAGGTGTGGGTAACACACTGGACATTGACCTTGCAGAGTCAACATCTGAGCAGTGCGTTAAACCCTGACCAATAAACTTCACGCTGACAGAACCGCAAAGGGAATATACACTTCGATGATTTCTTGTCTTCAAAGAGACTCCATTGATGGTTTTGATAAAGAGGATTTTTAGCACCGAGTCCTCAGCTGTCTGAAGAGGACACCAGAGTACCATGTGGGCTGTTTTTTTCTCACATCCTCGAAACTCGAGAATTGTGCTGCTGTATCTGTTTGCTTCAATCTCCAAGTCTCATACCAACTGATTTCCACTGCTGACAACATGTCTCTGGTCAAACGTAGAAAAGTCAGGACCTTTGCTCTCCTTTTTTGTGGCATTACCTTTACAACGCTCCTGTTTAGTTACACTTTCAGGGACCCCTCGCTCTACATTTTCAAACAGGCATTTCAGCTTTCAGACAGCTTTTTCTCCAAAGGGCCATGTGCTTGTCGGCAGTGCATTACAGACCTCGAAGGAGACCCGTGGTTCGCTGAACGCTTCAATCAGTCCATCAGCCCTCTGATGACCAGAGAGAACAGCATCCTCTCTGAAGAGACGTTTAGGTGGTGGCAGGTAAGACTTCAAGAGATGTAATTTTGAGATTTTTGCAGTGCTTTCTCACAGACAAAAACAAAATAAATAAGTGCAGCACACAGGTTCAGCTTCTGAGAACAGATGAGGTGCAAAATTGGAAAAGCCATAAAGGAGATCACACGCTGCTGCGAAGCTTCCAGGAACGTGTTTGTTTTGGCCGCATTGATTGTTTCAAATCCGCAAGATGTTTACCAGGATTAAGGTGCGAAACAAAACTCCCACGATGCAATTTCTTGGTGTTAAGCGAAAGCGGTGAAGGATCAGGAAATAGCTGTTTCCTCTCACCATCCCCTCCGGTAAATTTGCAGATAAGAAGAGATACGTTTTCAATCACAACTTGATTTCTCGAGCAATACCATCGTGTTGCACTCACTGAAGATCAGCAACAGAAAGAATACCAAAGCTTTTGTGATGATGAGGTGGTCTTACCTCTTGAACTTTTCCCAAAATGGGGAACAGTTCAAGGCGTTGGGACACTTTTTCAAAGTACCGTATGTCACCAAAGTGTCCTAGCTGTCTCTGGACCGGATCCAGTGCCTGAGGTCTAACCCCATTCTCATCACACAATGTCTAATTAAAGGCCAGAATTGAAACGTTAATGCAAGGTTGCCTCCTGTCACTACTTATTTAAAAAAATGTTTTTTCCTGGAGATCTAGACGAGGGAGTAGTCTCATTCTCAGCAGCAGCCTTACCAGATGGTTGTGCTGCGAGGCAAAGGCATGACCCCCATGTTTCTGTGGGCTGAGCTGTCAAAGCTTACAGACACATCCCCTGCTGGAGCTGCTGCTAAAGAATACAGGTCATTGCCTCACATTTTGAAGCAACCAGACATACAGTGTATAAATGTCATTTTATAATACACTATCAGCTGATGCACATTCAATTGTGCAATGACAATAAAGACAATTTTGTCTCTATACAAAAGTCAAACAGTTGACTTTTTTATTATTTCTTATTGCTCAGTAATTTTGAATCAGTGAAAATAAAGTTTAGTCCACAAACCATGCAGCTTATCAGCACACATATACCTTGATTTATGTGCTGCCTCTCCGCCTGTAGAGCCCCGCAGCCCTCGTTCAATCAATCCTGCCTAAAGTGGTCCCAGAGTCGAGCCTCTCTCTCTGAGGACTGTTTCTGCTTTGTCTCCAGTGGTTGCAGGCAGAGAGGCAGCCGGCCAATTTCAGCGAAGTGGTGGAGGAGCTGTTCAACGTCATCCCTGATGAGGTGCTTTACGCCGACGCCAGCCCCGACCGCTGCAGATCCTGCGCCGTAGTGGGGAACTCTGGGAACCTGAAGGGGTCACGGTACGGGAGCCTCATCGACTCCAGTGATTTCATCATAAGGTCAGTCAACGCTTCAGTGTATTTAACAACTTCTCGCTTTCGGGTGAAGTTTTGCCCTTTTTCTTAAATTCAAACTTGATTAAACACCGAGCAGCTTTTAAAGTGGACGTGTCATGCTTTGAAATCCTCCTTTTTTCACATTTATGAGTTAAAGTGTGATGGCTTGACAGCTTAGTGGTTAGCACTGTTGCCTCGCAACAAAAAGGTCTCGGGGTCTATCTGTGTGGAGTTTGCATGTTCTCCTCACATTTGTGTGGGTTTTCTCCAGGTACTCCAGTTTTCTTGCTGCAGATCAAAAACAGGCATGTTAGGTTTCCTACAGGCCCAGGCCTTCAATACAAAAGAGCTCTGTCATCTCAGTGGGGTTAGCCTGGTAAAATATAAGTTAATAAAGCTGAGACTAAAGTTAAAATGTTGAAGTAATGTTTCAATAATGAAGTCAAACCTGTGTATTCAAACGCCACTTTCATTATATATATA